TGGCCTCCAAGAGCACTGCATCCATGTGGCGCACTTATGCACATACAGGCAAAACACTCATATACCTAAATAAAAATTAAAAAGAGTCAGGCTTGGTGATGCACACCTTTAATCCCAGCACTTGGGAGGCAGAAGCAGGCAGATTTCTGTGAGATTGAGGCCAGTCTGGTCTACATAGCAAGTTCCAGGCCAGCTGGAGCTACAGGGAGACCTTATCTCAAAAAGACAAAAAAATAAAAATAAAAACAAAAAAGTAAAAATATTTCCATGTGCATAGGGCTGTCATGAGGATTAGAGTGGATAATACGCCAAATAAACAGAGACTACATGTAGCATTCAAGCGCCTGCCACATTCATTCAATCCTGACTCCACCATTTCCTTCCTGTGTGACATTGCACAAGCCACTTAACCTGATTTTCTCATTAATTTAAAATAAGGATTATGTAAGGATTATTAGGTTACTATGAAGATTCAAAAAGTTAGTTATTTGGTTTTGGAGGCAGGGGCTCATAGTCGTGTGTGTGTGTGTGTGTGTGTGTATGTGTGTGTGCGTGCGTGCGTGCATGCATGTGTGTGTGTGTGTGTATGTGTATGTGGTATGTATCTGAGACAAGGTCTACCTAAGGGCTTAGGTAGACTGCCCTAGTATTCTATATGTAGCTAGAGCGGACCTCAAACTCAAGAGCCTCCTTTTTAGCCTACTGAGGATTACAGGCAGATGAGAGCCACCACACCTGGCAAGAAGCTTTCGGAACAGTACCAAGCACACAGAAAATATTCAATGTTATTGATATTATTACAATTATTATCACTAATTTTTCCAATGAGCCCTCCTTTACAAGCTTGTGCGATTATTAGTTTCATCCCCAGCTCACAGATTGGAAAATTGAGGCTCAGAAACTTTATGTGCTCACACTGTTCCAAGGACTTTACAATTATTTAGGTCTTATAACAATCCTATTCCTGCTCCAGTCTTACAGGGAACCAAGACACAAGGAGGTTAAGTAACTTACCCAATATCCTGGAAATATGTAGTCTTTCTAGCCCCAAGAAAAGTACTATGGCTCCAGCAATCAGTTGTTTTAGGGAGGATGATACACGAAAGAGACATCTCACCTCCCCAACCACTCTGGCTCTGGTCCAGGGGGGCAAGGGTGAGGCTGAGCTGAAACCTGGAGGTTCTTTTCTACCAGGGGCCCAAGCTCAGTTCTCTGGGTACCTCATCTAGAAATACTGGGGAGGAGGGGTGTCAAAGAGTGCTTACCCAGGAAATTCAAGACCCACAGTCCCACCTCCCCAGGCAGCAGTCTCCAGGAACCAGCAGGCCTCTACCTCCCTGGGGGACAAAGGACAAGTCATTGCCCTTCTCAGAGCACAGACTTACCTAATAGGTTGGTAATGGGAATACATCATTGACACAGGATCCAGATCCACAGAGAGTGTATGACTTCTCTAATTCACACAGGGAGTAGACAGAGGTCTAGGAATTAAATCTGGGTGGGACTAATTAATATCCTTCTTCCCTGCTTTTCCCACTGTTCCTTATCTTCTGAACATATTTTGTATGTTCTGGAGTATTTAGCAAATCCACTTTCCTGGGCCGGACGTGGTGGTGCACACCTTTAGTCCCAGCACTCGGGAGGCAAAGGCAGGTAGATCTCTGTGAGTTCAAGGCCAGCCTGGTCTGGGGCTACAGGGAGACTCTGTTTCAAAAAAAAAGACTAATAAAAAAAAGTTCCACCTTCCTAACGGTGTTTCTAGAGTCTGAGGAAGCATATGCTTCCTGTATATGTAATCTCTCCATGAAATAGGTAAATTTTTAGGACAAGCAGGAATTTAGGGATAGTTTGTGGAACCTGGGCCTAGATTTCCCTATGGGTAGGGTTTCAGTATGTTTACCATTTACTAACAAGTGTGGCTTCCAGAGTGACTTCTGAAAACCTGTTTTCACCACTATAAGTTGGGAAAAAATATACACATCTTTTGAGGTTGCTGGGAGAATTAATGCGACTGTATGTGTTAAATGCTTAGCACAATGCCTAGAAAATAGTAAGAATCAAAAAATTGAAGCTTGGGCTGGAGAGATGGCTCAGCAGTTAAGAGCACTGACTGCTCTTACAGAGGACCCAGGTTCGATTCCCAGCACCCACATGGCAGCTATGAACCGTCCTTATCTCCAGTTCCAGGAGACTCCAACGCCCTCTTCTGACCTCTTAACTATATTAGCAACTTAATCCAAGTTACTCCATCTTGCTCAGAATAGCTATTTTAATAGTAGCCTGTTTTCCACTTATGGGAAATATTTAAAAGGAAAAAAACAGCCTTGAGTTCTAAGAGATAGCTCAACCACAAACCAGTGGAACATGATAATCTCAGACATTCTACATCTGACTGTTTGTGCTTCTGTAACTCGCTTGCTATTTTAGGTCACCTTGACACAAAGTATAAGACCACCCTGTTATTGTATGACCACCTGGTAACTGCTGATTTCAGCTTTCTTTCTATACTTGTTATGGTTAGGAAGTTGACTAATTTTAAAATTACAAAGTTGATTGCCAAGTTATATGACTGTATCACTTGTCTGTATAATGACTGGTTGTTGATTAATAGAGTCAAAGTTCTGCTATGTTGTACAAACCTGATTGGTTCACAAATGTCCTGTTTGAATGATGTTTCTGTAATCCTATAAAAACTCTGACCCAACAATGATCGCAGCTGTATATACTCTCGAGATAGACAGCCCGGCCAGTGGAAATAATAAACATTTACCTTGCTACTTTTCTTGAAGTGGTGCTGGTGATTTTTTGCGAACTCCGACCTATAACAGCCTCCTCGGCATTGCACAACATGGTGCACTCGCATACATGCAGGCAATACACTCATACACATAAAATAAAAATAATAAATAAAATATTTTAAAAACGAAAAAGTCAAAAAAATTGAAGCTTAGGAGCTAGAGAGACAGTTCAGTGGTTAAGAGCACAGACTGCTCTTACAGAAGACCCAAGTTCAATTCCCAGCACCCACATATGGTGACTAACAACCCCAGTTCCAAAGGATCTGACATCTTCTGACCTCCTCGGGCATTGCACAACACTGGTACACTTACACACATGCAGGCAGTACACTCATACACATAAAATTAAAATAATTTTTAAAAAATGTTTTGTCTTTTTGAGACAAGGTCTCCCTGTAGCCCCAGCTGTCCTGAAACTCACTATGTAGACCAGGCTGGCCTTGAACTCACAGAGATACGCCTGCCTCTGCCTCCCGAGTGCTGGGATTAAAGCCGTGTGCCACCAACACTGGCTTATTTATTTTTATTTTATGTGTATGCATGTATTGCCTACATGTAGGTAAGTGCACCTGTGTCGTGCAATGCCCGCGGAGGTGGGATCCCCTGGGACTGGAGTTATGGAGACAGTTGTTAGCTGCCACGTGGGTGCTGGGATTCGAACCCAGGTCTTCTGCCAAGAACAACCAGTGTTCTTTAACCGCTGAACCATCTCTCCAGCCCATAAAAAAATATTTTTTAAAAAATTGAATCCAAAGCCAGGCATGGTGCCACACGCCCTGTCTCAAAAAAAGACCAAAGAAAAAAAATTGAATCTTAATAACAAGACAGTAATTACAATGAGGACCCCTTTTAAATTTAGTAGTCCTTTTCAAATAAAATAGGTTTCCTCCCAGCTGTTCCCTCTTAAATTAAGAATCTGCAGCATGCTGGTAGAGCACATCATCAAGGCGTCACTTGTTCCTATTGAGATCCAGTCTAAAACTGCTGAAGTGACACTTTCAGTTCTGTGACAGCAATGGTGGCATTTCCCAGCCTACTGTCTCTTGTCTCACTGTGGCATCTTACCAAAGTGCTCTGAGATATATGTCAGGTGAACATACCAACCAGAAATTTCCATGTCTTTTTTTTTTTTTAATGTGTAGGAGTGTTTATGTAAGTGCCCAGAGAAGCTGGGCTATCACTGGATCCCCTAGAACTGGAGGTGCCAATGGTTGTTATCAGCCATGTGGGTGCTGGGAACCGAACCCCAGATCTCTGCAAGAGCAGCTCTTAACAAGTGCTCTTAACAGCTGAGTCCTCTCTGGCCCATTTCCATGTCTTAGTCTAAATATGTGTGATTAGGAGTGTCCTGGGTACAATCCCCAGCACTGCAACAACAAAAAAAATGCTAAGAGCTACAAATAAGTAGCCATGTTGAAAAGCAAGTTAGGAAGTCTGGTACAAAGCAGGCTCCAATGACTTTCAACTAGTCACTTGCTCTTCAGGTCACATCTCAGGGGCAGCTGGCAGTCCACCTTATACCTTAGGGCTTTCTCAGCTAACAGCTCCCAAGAAATTTAACTACTGAGCATTTGGTACAGTTTCAAAAGGCATTGGCCTCTCCAAACTCATCATGGCCTCCAGACTCTTTGGAAAATACCAAAATCATCCTCCAGCTAAGCTGTGAGATCTAGGACATGGGTGGACAGTGGGATGTTTACCAAGTGGCTGAGTCATTCTTTTCACAGATGAAACTATTACCAAGACACACAGCAGTTACTCTCTACCCTCTTTCCCACTTTATTTCTCCCCAGTGTGTTGGATTTTGGGGGCCTTACTGGTTCTGATTCTAAGATTCTGTGACAGGCAAGAGGATCCTAAGATCTAGGGAAATGTGGACATGAGTTCAGGCTTCTAGAATTCTACATTCTAAGTTTCTATGCCCCAGTAAACTCGGTATAATAAACAGGAGCAGGTTCCTGTTCTGTGTCTGCTGGTACAAGTCCAGAAAGGCAAATATCACCTCTGAATTCCACTGCATTTCTCAGGGTCCAACCTCCCAGGTCAGCCAGAGACCACCACCCTAGCTCCAGCACCCCCAACCCTCCAGCCCCTCAGCATCTCCCTCAGCCTAGGGGCCAAGTAAGGAAGCCTTAGTGGACAGGAACCAGAACTGTAGTTGCCTGGAGCTGGGGAAGGGTGGGGAGTCTAGAGGCCCGCCCATCCGCCTGAGCCACAGACTTCCTGGTCCGCGGGCCGAGGACAGCCAGGACTGACAGGGTTGCAAACCCCAGAGCCATGGGGAAGGCGCGGGATGCCATCCTGGATGCGCTTGAAAACCTGTCTTCGGATGAGTTCAGAAGGTTCAAGATGAAGCTGCTGTCGGTGCCACTGCGCGATGGCTACGGACGCATCCCACGGGGGGCCCTGCTGCAGATGGATGCCATAGACCTCAGTGACAAGCTCGTCAGCTACTATCTGGAGGCATATGCCGCGGAGCTCACAATGACTGTGCTTAAAGAATTGGGCCTGCAGGAAGGAGCAGAGAGTCTGCAACTGGCCATTCGCAAGGGTGAGTGTGGCAGTCCCTCAACTACCCTCAACTTCCCCATGAAACAGAGATGTATGTCTCTTAGGCTCTTCTGCTTTTTGTTCCTCCTGCACTCCAAAAAAAGCAAATGTAGCTTCCCCATGTAGCCTTGAACTTAGCCTGACCAAGGGGCCCCCAGCCCCAGAAAGACTCCAATGGGAAGAGAACTCGACGTTGCTTGGTTTTGTGTTTTGTCTTTGAGACAGGGTCTCCCTGTAGCCCCAGCTCGCCTGGAACTCGATATGCAGACCAGACTAAGGCCTCAAACTCACAGAGATCCACTTGCCTCTAATCTTTTTTTTTTTTTTTTTTTAACAGAGGTTGGATCTGTGGCAGCTGCCCCACCACAGATGGCAGGCAGAGCAGGTGAGGCTTCCCCACCCTATCTGGCCTGCCCCAGCCCTCTCCAGCCCCACCCCTACCACACACCTGTACAACTTATCTCTTGTCCTAAGGTCAGAGCCTGGCTGAGCTAACCCTATCTACCCACTACCCACACCTCTTTGGGAGGGAGCTTGGTCCCATCCTTAAAACTGCCTTCAGTAATTTCTTAAGCAGTGTTCAACACATCTGCTCACTTCCACCCTTAGTACCACACTTTGTGGACCAGCACCGGCAAGCACTCATCGCCCGGGTCACAGACATTGATGGGGTGCTGGATGCCCTGTATGGCAAGGTGCTAACTGAGGAACAGTACCAGGCAGTGCGTGCAGAGACCACCAATCCAAACAAGATGAGGAAGCTCTTCAGCTTTGCTCCAGCCTGGAACCCGACCTGTAAGGACCTGCTCCTCAAGGCCCTGAAGGACACCCAACCCTTCCTGGTGGCTGACCTGGAGCAGAGTTGAGATGTCTTCTCCAACAACAGCCCCCATATACAATTTATGAAAAAAAAAAAAAGTTTGTACTTTTATGTTCTTCCTACCCTGTCTGTACATGAAGGCATTTGCTGAGATAAGCTACATTTCCAAAGATCACATGGCTAGGGGTGGGGGAGCACTCAGTAGACCATGTACTTATGGTCTACTTACGGGTTCAATCTCCAGCACCAGAATTCCATAGGCTCTGGTTTCACTACTCCTAGTGCATAAGACTCCTCGGATGATTCCTGGTTTCTTCAATTGGGGGTTCTTCCTATGTTATTCCAAGGGACTTGCGTTAACATATCTACGGTAGGTAATTAAAACAGGGACATGTACAAAGGGGCCTGGAATTGTGATCTGCCAAAGGCATTTAGAAGCAGAGCAGTCTACTCAAGATTCTCTACATGTTCTACTTTTAAAAATATATATATATATTATTTTATGTGTACGAGTGTGTTGCCTGCATGTATGTGAGTACACTCGTGTTGTGCAATGCCAAGGAGGACAGAAGAGGGCATCAGATTTCCCTGGAACTGGAGTTAAGATGGTTCTTAGCCACCATGTGGGTTCTGGAAATCGAACTCAGGTCCTCTGCAAGAGAAGTCAGTGCTCTTAACTGCTGAGCCATCTCATCTCTCCAGCCCCTGTTCTACTTTTTGCATATGGGAAATTATACTATTTTCTTAGGACACCAAGGAGATCCAGAATTCTCAACCACTTACCAACTTCCCTGCCTTTGCCAGGCTTGGGTCAACCTCTTACCTGCTGCAGGTCCTCTAACTGGTCCTCCCTGCTTCTAGTCTAACTCTTAAGTGCCTGAGTAACCAAAACTGATCGTGAGAACAGACACTGTCTCACAACATGGCACCTAAACTCCTTCAAGCCTGGTCCTTAACCCCACCCAAACCCATCTCCTCTCACACCTCTCAACACCTACCTCCCACACATCTGGCACCATGCACTCAGCATACATGTTGGGCTCAGTTTTGGACAGCTTTGAAATCTACTTGAACCAGCATGCTCAAATGCATGCCTTCCTCCCAGCTCAGGGAGCATTTCCCAGTGTCTCTGGGACAAAACCAACCATTGCCATGATATATATTCACAAAGTGTCCCTCCAATGGGCTGAGCCTATCATGAAGAAAAAAAAATTCAATCCCTATACAAATTTTTGTTTTTACACTTTACAGGAACCTAATAATTCTCATAAAATGGAGTCATAGATAACAATTTTGCAAAAGTAGCTACAGGGCTGGGGATGTAGCCCAATTGCAGAGGGCTTCCCTAGCATGTCTGAAGCCCTAGGTTTGTTCCCTGGGTTTGATGGGGAACACCTGTAATTTCAGCACTGTGGAGGCATTCAAGGTATATAGTGGCTGTATAAAGCCAGTCTAGAATACATGGGAGGGAGGAAGGGAGGGAGGGAGGAAGGGAGAGAGGGAAGACAAAGAAAAGGAAGAGTAACTAGGCAGGAAAAATGGCTCAGAAGTTAAAAGCACTGGCTGCTCTTGCACAGGACTGGGGTTCAGTTCCCAACACTCACATGGCAGCTTCCCTCTTTAACTCCAGGTCCAGAGGATCCAATACCCTCTTCTGCCCTCCACAAGAACTGCATGCACATGGTGCACTTTACATACATGCAGGCAAAACATTCAAACACATAAATTAAAAAATATGAGTAGCTACAAAAACTAGCGCAGAAGAGGGAGATGAATCGACAGATAAAAGTGCTAGCCATACAAGCCTGCTGACCCGAGTTTGATCTCCTGAACCCAAATAAAAAGCCAGATGCAGTGATACACTTCTATAACCCCAGCACTCCAGGAGCAAGATGAGGTAAAAACAGAATTGCCCTGAAGCTTACTGGCCAGCTATCTTGCCATATGTTGTGCAGCAGCAGAAACAAGAATATATACACACACTTCCTACAGCGAGGAAGGCCAAGGACACCAGAAAGCTTTCCTCAGATTCTACACATGTACCTGTGCTTATATACATCCATTTTTGTTTTGAGATAGGGTCTTCCTGTAGTCTCAGTTCACCTAGAACTCACTATGGAGACCAAGCTGGCCTCAATTTCTTAAGAGATCTGCCTACCTGAGTTCTGGGATTAAAGGTTTTGTTTTGGGTTTTTTTTGTTGTTTTTTTTTTTTTTGTTGGCCTGGAGTTCCCTTTATAGACCAGGTTGACCTTGAACTTACAGAGATCTGACTACCTCTGTTCACCATGTAGACCAGGCTGGCCTTGAACTCACAGAGATCCACCTGCCTCTACCTCCAGAGTGCTGGGATTAAAGGCATGCACTACCATGCCCGGCCTAAAGGCTATTTTATTTTTAATTTTTTATTTTGTGTATGAGTGTTTAGCCTGCATGTAAGTTCCTGCACCACATATGTGCAATGTCCATGAAGACCAGAAGAGGGTGTCAGATCCTCTGGAACTGGAGTTAGACTTGTTGGCTGCCATTTGAGTGCTAGGAAGTGAACTCCAGTCCTCACCAAGAGTAGCCACTGCTCTTAACCACTAAGCCAGCTCTTTGGCCCCCCCCCTTTTTTTTTAATTTCTAAGATATACCCTTTAAAAAAAATGCAGTCCTGAAGCAACAGAGTTCTAAGAAACAGCCCTCCCAAGGGCTGAGGAGATGGCTAAGGAGATACAGCATTTGCTGCACAAATATGAGGACCTGAGTTTAGACCCCCTAGAACCTATGCAAAAGCCAGGCATGGTGACAGTACACATCTGTAATCCCAGCACTCAAGTGATAGAGGCACACAGATCTCTGAGTCTGAAACCAGCATGGTCTACACAGCCAGCTGCAGGACAGCCATGGCTGCATAGTGAGGCCCTGATACATGCTAGCATTTGGTTAGATGAGAGGGAGAGACAGAAGCCCTGGAAGCATCTTGGCCAGGTCACAGAACAAGAGACCCTATCAGCGTATCTTGGGGACTCCCTTTTCCCTTTGTATTTCAGGATGAGAGAACTCAGTTCTACTACCAGTCTCTGATTTTTTGGCATAGCATAGTTTAAGGGCATAAATTCTAGAGGATTAAAAATCCAAATCCCGACGGGCATGGTGGTGCACGCCTTTAATCCCAGCACTAGGGAGGCAGAGGCAGGCGGATCCTTGTGAGTTCAGGCCAGCCTGGTCCACATAGTGAGTTCAGGTCAGCTGGGAGTACAAATCCCAATTCCACCTCTGGCTAACCATGAACTAAATGGCACCTCAGCATCTCCCTCTGCAGTGGTTTTAAAACAATGTACTCCACAGGGCATGGTGGCACACACCTTTAATCCCAGCACTCAGGAGGCAGAAGCAGGTGGATCTCAGAGTTCAAAGCCAGCCTGGTCTATGTAAAGAATTCCAGGCCAGCTGGGGCTACAGGGAAACCCCGTCTCTCAGAAAGACCAGGGGGGGCGGGGGGAAGACACCTAGCAGCAACCGGCAAGTGCACATTAGTGTCAATTAGTGTCAACTCTTTCCAGTAGGATGTTTTTGCTGTCAGCACATCAAGCTTTAGAATTGTCAGGGACAGTCCTGCATTGGACAAAGTGACACAACAACTTAATGATTTTTTTTTGGGGGGGGGTCTTTTTGAAACAGGGTCTCCCTGTAACCACAGCTGGCCTAGATTCGCTATGGAGACCAGGCTGGGCTCGAACTCAGAGATCCACCTGCCTCTGCCTCCCAAGTACTGGGATTAAAGGAGTGTGCTACCATGCCCAACCTCAAAGTAATGTTCTATGCACCCAGTTAGTCCCAATCCTCAATGGAACCACACAGAAATGTCCAATTTAACAACTAATGCCAAAGACTCTTTCAATAATGCCTCATTCTCCTGACAAAACAAAATTACAAAAGAAAAACCAGGCAACTATTTGAATTTGGGGAGGGAATTTTTGAGACAAGGTCTCACTGCAGCCCAGGCTGGCAACAAACTGGTGATCCTCCCATGTCAGTCTCCCAAGTGCTGGGATTACAGATCTGTTCCATGCCCAGCTTCGAAATAATAAACATTCCTCGCTCAATCTTCAAACTTCTTAAACCTTTGAAGCAGAATAGAAGCCAACACTAGCCAAAGAAGCAAATTATAAAACACACGCAGGGCTCAAACTTTCTTCTTAGCTCCTAGATAGCATGATTTATATCTAAGTAGACAGTTATCAGTATCAACAGAGCATCTGTTAGAAACACACAGCTTAGGTTTCACCTGCACCTACTCTCCCTTTAGCCCCAGCTGTCCTGGAACTCACTATGTAGATAAGGCTGACCTCAATCTTAGAGACCATCTGCCTATGCCTCTGCCTCCAGAGTGCTGGGATTAAAGGCATGTACCATACCTGGCAACAGTTCACATTTTGAAAGATTTTATTTTTATGTGCATGTCTATGTGTGTACACATGTACATGTGTGCTAGTGTCTGTAGAGGCCAGAAGACACTGGGTACCCTGGAGCTGGAGTTAGTCAGTTGTGAGCTATCCAACATGGGTGCTGAGAATTGAACTTGGGTCCTCTACAAGAGCAGCAAGAGGTCTTAACCACTGAGCAATCTCTTCAGCCCCTACAGTCTGCACTTTAACAAGACTGCCAAGTGATTCAAAATAAGACAAATACACATATTTATACACACACACACACACACACACACACACACAGAGCAATCTTAATCCAAAAAATCAAAAATGCCCCAAAAGCTAAAACTTTGTGAGCACAAACATGGTACTAAAAAAATCAAAAATTTGCAATAGAAGATATGGCTATAATGTTAAGAGCACTGGGTGCTAGGACCCAGGTTCAGTTCCTGTGGTGGTTAGAATGTCTCCCATAGGCTCCAAGTATTTGGACATTTTTGTCCCCAGTTGGTGGTGCTGTTTTGGGAGGTCTTAGAAGGTGTGGCTATGGTGGAGGAAGTATGTCACTGGGGGCAGGTTAGGAGAGTTCTTAAGCCTTGCCAAATGTTAAGTCCCTATCTTGCTTCCTGTGCCTGCTTGGAGATGTGAGAACTTAGCTTCTGCTCCTCCTCCAGCCACCTCTGCTGCCATGCCTCCCCACCATGATGATGGACTCTTGCCCCTTTGGAACCA